TTTTTTAATTCCCAGATTTAAAAGAATCTGTTCTCATTTTGCATTTTATCTGTTTTATCAGAATAAAGAGGAATGGATTCAATGCTGTAATGCAAAGACATAGTTCTGTAAACAATTAAGGGAGGGTTTAATAATGTAATGTCTCTGGTATATAAGTGGCTGTTTGCCACTTACTCCATTTGGCTTTCTGCTGAGAGCATGGGCTTCATGTGAGCTAGTCTAATTGCTACAATTAGCAAAATTAAATGGCTTATTGTGTATTTAGACAATTCTTCCCACATTCTGCATTGTTATACTACAGAATTAGTAATTACAGTGTTGGGCTTGTAAATTCATGGACACGTGTTGTGATTATTTTCATCACGCACCTCTTGTAGGGACTCAACCTAAATAAGCTTGTTTAGATGGATGCACAAATGCAATTTACTCTGCTTCCCACCATGCACAGGAGCAGAAGAGGCAGCAGTAGAACCCCAGCAATCTGCTGAAGTCTTTTCCTTGGCATTGTGCAGGCAGTGCAGGGGGTGCAGAGTAAATCACAGCATCTCAGTCACTCCAGATTGCCCGACTTCAGAGATGGAGCGGAGAAAGGGCAGTGGCTTTGGGAGCTGAATCACTGGCAGAGCCAACTAAATCTCAGTACACCACCACTTTTAAGGCTCTTAAGGAGTTGTATGATCAAATCACAAACACTTCAAAATTGTTTAATTTAGGTTCTAAAAAAACCACTAGGCTAGTTGTGAATAATTGCTGGACAATAAAAAGCAAATGAATATATTTTGTGATTGGGAGTCCCTTTCCAAATAAAGCAGCACTTGTATTTTTAGTACCACTCATGAATTGCTCTTTTGGGGAGATAATGATATATTGCCTAGACTATCATATATTTTAAACAAATTTGGGTTAAATAGCTATTCACCACATATTAAAAATTGCAGCTCCAATAAAATTTTAATTTACCTCCTCTGCTTTAAAGTTTACAAAATCAGGCAGCTGAGGCCTAGCATTTAATTTTGGAATGAAAATTTTCTCAAATGTTATAGAAATTAATTAATAGAAAATTTGTTGATTTGCCAATGAAAATAGTGTTTATATGCCACCAAGCCCATGTAACCCAAGCACGGACACATTGTTCTAGCACAGGAAGCGTGTTTAAACTGACATAAACAGAAGTGGAAACGAGTTTTTTCATTATTAAATCTGCATGAAAAAAGTATTGCACATATTTTCAAATAATTCATTTTTTAGAAAAAGTTTATCTTTTTATAGAACAAATTTCTTTTAAAATAAGACAAAAGGTTTATCTTGCATTTTCTTTTATGTTTTCTGAATGAACATGGGTATGCATTACCTCTCCTTTATCTAATTAGAGTAGTGAATACTACTTAAATTGTCTTTTCTGTAACATACAAATCCACAACTCTTGAAATTTTAGGACCAAGTCTTTAACCAGATAAGTTACTGTTAAATCTGATGGCAAATTTGTTTGATTCATTAGAACAATGCTTACATCACTCTTACTTCTAACAAAGAGATGTGGTTGCTTTTCTTTAAGCATATAATTATGAACTTTTTCATTTTCGTGTTATTCTGGAATGAAATTTAAAAGACCTGATTTTTTCATTATTTCAAAAGCAGAAGTTAATTTTTTTTACAATTCTTTTTTTTGCTATTGCTGTCTTAATTGAACATTATTAATAGATCTTAAAACTGTCTGTGGTAAAAAGAATAGTGCATATTGGTTATTAACTGTCCGTAAGGCCATCATGGGATTTCAGTGTGGACTATGTTTACTCTTGACAACTTCTATAAAAAATTCTTACAGCTTTTAATGCGACTGTTCACAGCAAAGCAAATTAAGAAACTGTCCATGTAGTCATCTGACCGTTAAGATTTCAGTGGCCATCCTGTTCTCAGTGCAAGTATCACTGACATTACAAGCATAACAGAGCAAGATTTTGGAGAGCAAATTTTGACTCGGTATAAAATGATTTCTCCCCCTTCCTCAAACAGCCAGATTAAATTCTGAAGACAAGCTGTATGTACATACTGCCACATATGGTGCTGTGCACTCAGACCCTGCAGTAGTTTACTTAAGATAAATTTAAAAACATTACTGAAAAAAATGAAAAATGCTGGGAGAGTAAAGAAAGTAAATGCTAGATTTTAAAAACCACATGGATAAATAATGCCTCTGTGTCCTTCCTTCCAAAACCAAACAAGAGCAAATCAAACAAACTCACCCCAAACCTTCTTCAGAAACCTTGCAATGCAAGCACTGCTCCAGACCGTAACCCTTTAAATTCTGTACAAAGCAACGTTTCTTCAATCCTGTAAGCCCTGACCAAAGGGCTCAAGAGTGCTGCCCGCTGTGCCTCACTCATGCTAAAATTTCTGAGTTGTTAAAGCAGCAGCAAACACATTGAACTGTTTCCAAAACAAACCCTCACATCTTGGATTACAAAGCTTACCATTTGCCTTGTTTGTAAAGAAAAACAGCACTTCCCTTGTGCGAGTTAGCGTTTGATTCTGGAGTGAAGGCTCTACTGAATTTGAGAGGACAAAGGGCTTGCTCCCAAAATCTTTTTTTATCAGTTCTTGCAGTGGTATATTTTCTGCCAAAATATGAGTGCTTTTCTCTGAATAATCAGCTATATCTCCATGGAAGGAAGGGCAATCACTTTGTACAAGGCTTCAGGTTTGGACTATCAAAGAATTATTTTATTTAAAAAATTATTATAGAGGCAGTTGGCCACTGCTTAATTTGAAAATACCTAAGACACCCTTGAAGCACGGGTGTTTTCTGATCTGTGTAAAGTTCCCTCTGACTTGCAGATTCCTGCACTTCCACAGATGTTTTGTTTTGAGGAACTTGCCCCAGCAAAGAACAACAGGTATCGAACATTTCACTAATAAAAAAAGTCAACATTAAAAATGGCTAATTGAACGCATACAAATAAACATAGGCTGTGTAACCTCGGCCATTTCATAGTACAAATATTAATAACAGGAAAGACTGACATTTACCCAGCAGCATGTACAGCAGTGACTACACTGGATATACCTGACAGTGAAGGTTACAATACCAATCATCAGGTCTTCTCCATCCTGACAATGCCATTTACAACAGTAACTCTTCAGTTCTGCTTCGCTCTCCTAAAATGGATGGAAATAGTTATAGCAAACTGTTTCTTATGGAATCGCTTGGTGTCTTTACAAGCCACTTACATTTGAAGCAGGATCCGCGGTTTATAGAGTATTCTAAAAGTACCCATGTAGGCTTTCATATGGCATTACACTGCAAAACAAATCCATAATGTGTGAAAATCAGGTTTATATCAACCTGCAGAAGCCAGTTGATAAAATTCATGGACCAATTCTTAAAATCTAAGCTATAAAGAGAATGAAATGTATTAAAAGATTTGAGGTTTATAAAAAGTAACCTTTTTATACCATATTTTTACTTTACAAAAATATTGAAATAATTCATGAGTTTTTCACTCTGCACCAGCTTTAAAAAAAATACTATCAAATTTTGACTTGCACCTTTAATGCATCTGAAAGCACCATCAGGGGATACTTTTAACACAAAGGAGGATATCACTGACTAGATTTAGGGAGGTATTTAAAACCCAAAAGCTTGCAGCAAAAGCACTCTATTACAAGAGATTCAATGTAATTTTTAAACGTATCTGGACACAAGTCTTGAACAGGCAGAAGAGGATCTTCCTCATAACTTGCTTATATTATACTTCGGTGAATATACTTACTAAGAGGTGGCTGAAAGCCTTTAAAAGACATCACTTTCACCTTGGGTGGGAAAAATCAGAGCTGTCTCTACAGGTTGAGAACTTGATTGGTCTTTCCTGCTTTTTGTTCTGGTAGGGCTCGTGCCACTCGTTATCTGTCCCTCAGGCAATATCAACCTTGCAGTTATACAATGTTTGGCACTAGAAGGGTATGGCATGTCACAGTCTCTTGTCACCCCTGCATACATTCACACACTGAATCATGCATTCTCAGTCCTGAAACAGAGAAGTTTCAGTGTGTTCATCTCCTCGTAGTTTCTTCCGAAATATCTGAATGGGGTCCTCCAAAAAGTTTAGAATACGAAAACTATACTTCCCTGTTCTTTTACATATATATATATTTTTTTTTTTTGCAAATTGAACACTGAATCATGATTATCATTTAATTTACATCACTACGTGCTAGAGCTCCTTATTTCTCCTGAAAACCAGAAGTGAGCTGCATAGGATTTCTGTTAAAAATAACACAAAGAACTTAAATTGCATTTAAAAAGACTTTGAAATTCCACAGAAAACAAACAGTTCTGGTAGTATTAGTGTTTATGACCCAATTAATCAGAATTTAGTTTATTTTCCATTGACAGCCTTACAAACATGATGGTGTATCTTTTTAATTAAGAACTATTTTGCAAACCTATTCTAACCTGAATGGTTGATTTATGGGAGTGTTGAAGACTACTGTGTTCCTATTTTTTCCCCAGAAAACAGTTTTCGTAACAGCAACATTGAGTGCTACAGTTTTGTTATCTTTGAAAAGTTTTTTTTTGTTTGTTTTTGCCATTGATTCTGCAAATATCAATCATTCATTTCTAAAATAAAATGCACTACTGGCTAAAGTTGAAAGCTCTGGTCAGAGCCTTCCTGTTGGTTTGATTGTAAGTACTGTGCAGTCAGAGTTTCATAGCAGCAAGGAGTCGTGGGTGAGTTTCCCCGGCTGAAGTAACTGATCTGTATGTGTGGGTCAGGGTTTGGGTTTTTTTTGAGGCTTTCAGGCGATGCTGCTGTATCAGTGTCCTGCAGACAGACTGCACACAGTGGATCAAATGATAATCATGATGATAGCCAGACTAAGAACACTACAGCTTGCTGCTCTACTTGTAGTACGCAGTTTAGTTATTCCTACAGCCCTACTGTCAACCCTTAATTTGGACTGTCACGTCGCAGCTTCTTCAAGCTGTGTTTTTGTTTTGTTTACAAGGTGGTTTCATATTCCAAGCGCTCCTGGATAAGGGCATCATCTTTATACTGTAGCCGTGGAGGAGCAGGGGAACATTCAAATGCTAAGATCGCCTTCCTCAGGCTCCTGTCCAACACGTGTCTCTCCCACGCTGGGTACCTGTTCCTGAACAGATCGATTTTAATGACAGACTCCTCAATCCTTGGTGGCCGGGATGAAGGTGTGGATGGTGCGGTGGGTCTCACCTGAAACACAGGCACACATCCATCCCTCTCCCCGAATTTTTGATCCCGCTCGCTCGTGACACTCCGGTTGTTGGAGATGGACCGTAGAGTGTTTGTTGCCACTTCTGGGGGTAGGGTGAAGGCAGCGGCAGGGTCCTCACAAGCACAGCTTGGTGACTGCCCAAACCTTGGTCCGTTGGGGTGAAAGAAGGCATAGTACATTAGCATAAAAACAATGCCTGTTAAAAAGCTGCTGAACACTACACACAGTGCTGGTATGGCAAATGCATCAGAGATTGGTGGGGCCTTGTACAGATACCAGAGAGCACTCAAGGCGGTGTTTTCTAAAAGGATCACAAAATAGTAAATGAAAAGCCTACAGCGTGTCCTTCCTTCCTTGACATTGAACCAGCTGAAGATATAGATTATCCCAACAACCATGTCGAAAACTATCTCCTCCCATTTAGTGATGCAAAACTCTGTCTCGCAGTGGACGATCCAGAAGGTCATGATGCACCAGTGCAGCACGATGAAGATCCCAAAGTACAGCTGGAAAACCGAGGCAAACAGAGCAAATGTAATAACCCTTGCTGCAATTGTGAAGAAATGCCAGCAAAACTGGATTATAACAGCCATATAACTGATGGGTTTCTTGTCATCACGGGAGTCACGAAGGGCCTTTTGGTAGGAAGCTAAAGCCCAAGCCAGGGATACAAGAGATGCTGCAGCAGTAAGACCTAGAAGGAAACAGGAGATACAGTTAAGGCATAATTAGTATATCAGCACTTTGTTGAAACCGGTGAGATCCTTGTTGCTTTAAATGTGCTCTTCACCACTCACATAATAAAATCTCTTACTTCTCTTTAGCTCAGCCAGCACTGAGAAATGGACCTCTACTGCTGAGATTTCATTCCCCTTATAAGCACGCTGGCATGTTAGACAGATACACACGAAAAAGAGTGGTTAGCAAACTACACTCTCAAATGCTTCTCTAGCAATTTTGCAATTCTATGTTTGAAACAAATTCATTAATTTACAACTTTGAGCAAGCTGGGAATAGGTGTCTCTGTCAGCTGTGTGATTTAATAGGACCCACTGTGGTTATTGTTTTAAAGAAAGAATATGAATTTTCCAATTTTGATAAGTCATTAAAGGAGCCTAATATAAAGCAACTGAGTCTTTCTAATTAAAATACCAGCATCATATACATATAAACTAAATCAATAACAATGTAAGCATAAATCTACATTTTTAAAATAAATTAATGTAACTCTTGTTACATCACAGTTTAAACTAACTGCCTTACTCTTGCTGAGGGAAAAATATTGCCCGTTTTGATATTTCCACCACTTTTAAACAGAATTTTAATAAGCAGTAAATGTCAAAACTTTATTTTCTTGCAGTTGGAAATTAAACTAATTTTAGAAATGTTGGAATTTTCTACTGAATTAAAATTCTGAATATAGATGCTCCTAAAGTAGGGAGTTATGACTTTATGTTCATATAGCCATTCTGTCTCCTGTATATCACAGAACTGCCTATTTATAAGGCCCTGAAATATAATATTTCTGGAAAACCTGTCAAATATTTTTCACATGAAGAATTCAATATAAAATTATTTCTCATGAGATTTTCAAACTTTTTTGGTGAAAACAATTCCTATTCACTTGAAAATATGAAAACCGTAAACCAAATTTTTTAAAAAACCTTTTTAGGCTTATTTTGACTGTGTATTATTCTTTTGCCCTCCAGTGGGTTTGATTGTTGTTGGTAGGTAAACTTAAAAAAAAAAGTTGCTTTGCAACTGAATCTAGTTTCTAAACTAATCTGTTACCTCCATACACTATCAGAAAAATCCCTTATGTTCCCATTTAAGAAGTGATATAGTTCAGCATAATAATTCAAATGCTTAACACTTACATAGCATTCTATTAGAAATGAATGATAATTCTTCTTTACTAGAAGATTAATTTTTATTTACTTACGACTCATATCAAGATGCTTTGGATGGAAATGGGAATTCAATTGAAATGCAAAACCCCAGCCTTCTAAGTGTATTTATTATTTAAATAAAATTGCAATAAATATGTTGTATACAGAGGAAAAATGTATCAAACATTTTATAATTAAAACTGGTTTATTACCAAAGCAAATTTTATATACAGTTAATGAATGAATTCATAAGTCTCAGCATCCCAGACTGAGAATTTATTCATAGGCCATTTAAATATAATGATGCTTCAGCTTACTCTACTTCTAAGCAGTTCCTTAACTTTGAACTAGTTATTGAAGTAAATCAAACTGAAATGAAGTAAACCTTTCTTCTGTCTGCTGTTAAAAGCTGTTTAATCATTTCAACAACCTTTGGTTCTGGATGCATAGATAGTATTTTTCTTCCCTGTTCAATAGCTTTCTTTAGAACCTAACCATCAAGAATATATTACTTAAATATTATAAGTTTTATGCAAATTTTGTTAATGCAGAGTGGTAAATTTAAGCCTAAATACATGTTGCTATTCATTTTTGAAAAAAAAGTTTATTTTAAAACAGAAAAATCTAGGCTATGGATATAATACCTGATTCTGAAGTAAAAAAAGTCTATTTAAGCAATCCACCTGGCTTAACACACTAAGATTTTGCTCAGTAAGTAGTACGGAGGGATTCATTGCTTTCTGGAGGGATTGTGTTTGCCAGTGTTTCTCCCTCAGTCACTGGCAGGGTGCTAATTATGTTTTGAGCTCCCATGAATTTAAAAACCCTTTGTTTCAAAAACAAAAATAATAATAAACAATCAGCAGAATATAGAACAAACTTAGGATTCCAGGGAGAATTTTTAATAAAATTTCATCATTTTTCTTCCCATGCAGATGCCTGGATGCCAAAACACCACCGTTACTTCTGGAATCCTTCACGGAGGGAACAAACTATCAGCGATGAAGACAGGAAGGAGACGTGGTATAAATTGTTATTTTCATTTCTGACATGTATATTTGCTTTTCACGTTGGGCTGCCTTTCAGTGACCATTATCTCTGGAGACAATGCTAACAGCTGAAAACCTATGTTCTCGTTTTCCTGTAAGAATATTTTAAGTATTGAAAAAACCACAGTTCATTTCCCTTATGAAATGAAAAGTTTGGAAAGGTAGATGAACAGGATAAAGGATAAGAGAATCTTTCAATACAAATGAGCCACTCTGAGCAAGAGCTCAAAAATAGCATTATCAGCACAGGAAAGAATAATGTGAGAGAGAAATCCATGTATTTTCTTTGCAAATTTAACTTTAATGACCTCACACGCTCCCCTAGAGGTTTGTAGAGATATCATCAGTTTTGCATTAGAAGGTGTAAAATCATTCAATAATGCACACAGACTGTTCCAAATAAAATGTTAAAATTCATAGGAATTTCCAATGTTGTAATGCTAATTAATTCATAGTCATTGTCTGGGACAGAAAGAAACAAGTACAATAGCAATGTAATTCTGTTATTTAAATAGTCATTAATACGGAAACATCCTTTGCTTTTACAGAACAAACTCAGGGATCCTGGCATATATTGGAGACAAGGAAATGTACAAAAGGGAAGAACTGCCAGTTAAAGTCTATGTATCTACTCTTGTGCTATTGTCAGTGGTGTTAGGGATATAGAATTAAGATAGAGCTAAACGCTTCATGGGCACTATCCATTTTTCTTTACTGATGAGACCAAGCACTAAAGAATTATTAAAAGTATAATTAATAATGAGAGCAATAATGTAAAAGTGATGCAAATGGCAGTTTGCTAATAAACAAATGTCACTATATAAATAATTCACTGGCAATGGTTAGAGATAAAGTGAATTATTGTAGCACTGAATGGATAATTCATTAATTAGAACATAACGATGCATTTGCTGAGTATGTGTTCATAGAAACCTCTTTATCTGTATTTCAAAAGAAGAACTAAAATAAATTTCTGTTACTAGCAAAACAAAACTTTAAAGGCATTAACACGGCACCAGGAAAAAAGAACAGAATGTCCTATAGACCTTATGGAAAACAAATTGTAACAGTGCAGGTGGTTTAACTTCTGCAGTCAGAAAGGCTTATTTGCCTTTCAGAAATGAACAGAGAAGATTGGACTGTGATCCGTGGAGCCACTGTTCATGAAGAACAAGCACCAGCTTTTCCGCTTGCTCAGCTGCAGCCTCCGTGCTGACTCTTCGGGCGCCGCAGCAGCTTTCTGGTGTATTTGACAGCCTTGTATATCAGAGTCTTGTATTTGGGCTCTTGACCTTGGCAATTAAGATTAACTAGCCATTCTCAGTGAATATATACTCAAGAAACTATATGTTCATCTGTTACGGACTGTTAAAAGTCCAGGAAAGCAGGAATTCTGTAAAATGGCCTTAGGAAACATGAAAGCGTATTCCTCTTTCTTCCTTTTCTAAAGCTGAACCTTCAAATTTTTTCTGCAGTATATGATTCGGTCTCTAAAATTCTGTCCTGAAGAGTAAAGAAATGCAGGCTTTGCACAGGAAAAAGATCACTTCACATATTGCATCAGGCAAAGGATGCTTTTGTTTGTTTCTAAAATGGACACCTGAAAAACTCTGAATAGCAATTAGTCAGGAGTGTACCTACCCACCTCCAGCCTTTGTAGCTTAGCCCATCGACAATGACCTCAATAGTGAGACTAGCCAATAATGCATTGTATCAGGACAACTTTCTGGCAGGAACTAATTAGAATCTGTTTTGAGTGAAAAAGACAATTTAACCTCTTTTATTCTGTTAGCAATTTGCATTACTTAATTATATTATTTGTATAGAGGAATGACAAATTTGTAATTACAGAGGAGATTCGGATGTCCTTAAGACAGTACACTTCCTGTCTGAACACAAAGAACAGAATTGCCTTGATTGAATTACAATTTTAACTTCCTTCCCTGGAAATGATTCGTTTCTCCATATATAAGAGATGTTCTTGCATTTCATAGAGCGTGGCATGTCTGTACTGGTACTTTGAATATAATACGTAATGCAACGAGCTACAGCTCATTAAAGACAACATAAAAAACCAGGAACATGACTTTCACAAGTGAAAGCAAACATCTATAAGGGAAAAGAGAATGTATACAGAGATGGATACATTCACAAATGTAATATTATTTCAGGGAAGCAAGCTCAAACAGCTACAGGACAGTCAAGGAGGTTCTCCTCAACTGTATTTGTAAGAAATCTAACTGAAATGTCATGAGTAATCCAAACAGAATTGCTCACAACAGATAAGGGTTTTCCATATTCCATCTCTGCTTGGCAATTCACAACTTAATTGTATCCTGCTGACATCTCTACCTTTGCATTATCATTCTCCCAAATGTGCACAATTTATTTAACTTTGAGGAAAGCAATTCAATGTCTAAGCAGCATATATGATTTGCTAGTTTGTATTTTTCTCCCACTCCCACAATATAATCTTTAGACTGGGGTGTAACTGAAAAAAATATGGGTCTCATTCTCACACCAATTTTATCTTACTCCTGATTTGTACTTGAGAGAGGAAAGGCATATTCAGGTTCATAAACTACTTCTTTTCTAATCATATCAGTCCATAAATCCTAAAATAAGTACAGAACACCTCAGTTCAGCTGAAAATCCTACAAATGAATGAACTGATCAGAGAAAGTGCTCCTTGACATTCAACCTGATTTCAGAAATCAAACTCCTGCCAAGGCTTCTGTCTCCTTTTTAAAATTATA